GATTTCTTATAGATTGTCCACACGCAATATGCGTGACTGACAAGCGTCACAAACTAACTTTTGTCACGTGACACAGTTGTTCAAGATTTTGTTTACAAGTATTTAGCAAGTGTTATCCACATTATTTAGGTCAAATGCCATAACTTTGTCACAATATGATTATGTTTCAATAAAAAAATCCTCACCGTATATCACATCTTGGGTTTCTACAAGTTGGGTTTGTATTGGGCTTTATTTTGTTATACGGTTGTCATGGGCAAATAGTACTAGTGGGCCTGAAAGAGAAAAAACATAAACAACTAATTTGAAAATTACGAAAGTTCACAAAAATTATAATATTTTTTCTATTGCGCATAGACCCACGTCAATGTAATGGAGATGTAATGGAGTCATAACAACACTGGAACAAAAATAGTATGACAACGACATATCATGAAACTGTAACAACAATAATAAAATCGGATCATGCGCAACCCTTGACGGTGTGGTTACAATGTTGTTTGATTGTTGTTGGATCATAAATTGTTGTTGGAGTGTGCAACTCATGTGCACACTACCCGGTGCGCATGAGAGAAGATTTGAAAAATTGATCATTTGGGAATTTCAGTTTGAATAATACGTAAAATAACAAATTTTGAATCAAGTTTTTAAAGTTCCGAAATGCTACCAATTTTTGAAATTATAACAAAAAGTAATCCAACCATGAATCTAAGATAATTCTAACTCATTACTGTGCACCACTCGCAGTTACTTCGCTCATATACCTTAGCTTCTAGATTCTACAAAACTTGGAGGCCTGATGAAAACTTTGGCTCCAAAGACCAAAGTACATAGAGAAAAATAAGAGTTCCACTTCATAATATTGCCGTTGCCAGATGATGCGAGTATTCATTAGTTTTTATTTGTTTGAATCCTTTGCTCATTGGCAATCCAAAGTGTGAGGAGAAGCTCCATCAGGTTGCTCAGGGAAAAATCAAAACCAGATATTCATCCAATGGCAAAAACACTCATATCACAAGGAAGATTATATTTATACCATACTTGACCAATCCCGAAACTATCAAGCATCTGTCAACTTCATATCTTCAAGGGCCTACTGAGGGGTTCATGCGGATGCATCCTTGCCGAAGCACAAGAGTTTCCCTCCACCTAGGAGGCTAATCACAGCACGACACATGTCAACGTCAGAATAAGGCTCATAGAGTCCCACATCCACCGTGGATAAAAACTGGAGACTCTCCTCAGCTATAAAAGAAGACCATTCTCCTACAATTAATCTCTAATGTCATTATTGTACTTAAACTAGTCATTAGAACCCACTAATGATGATTATGCTTGAACCTATCTATTTGTGTAAAACCTTCACTATTAATGATAACTTCTCTACTCCGTGAACGTAGCCAGACTTAGGGTGATCCACATACATCTTATGTTTGCTTCCCTAACTCTATTTTTTTACATATTATCCTCACTAGGTGACCGGAGCAACCGAGCGAATGTCACAAACTTAACACTTTACGTTGTTCCTTCACCGATTTTTTGCGTCAACAAATTACAATTATATAAACTAAGAAACAGATATTAGATGGATGGAGTAGTGACTGCATACATTAAAAGCGATAGAGAACCGAAAAGTACATGGGTGCCTGCAATATCCAATGATGTCTTTAGCAAACAAAGAGGTACCGGATAACCAGAGAATGAAAATGATCGTCGGACATTTCTGCACAGATATAGATTATTAGATTATGACATTACATGCAGCAAGATTACCACTTCGCAACTACAGAAAACCGCATTGTAAGAGTATTGAAACTTAATATGTCCTCATTTTCTACCTGCACATAGCAAAATGAATGATCAACAATTGCGCTTCAGCAAGCTCTGCTTTACAGAGTCCAGTAATCATGTTTGCTGCAGGTATATCCAATTACTCAAGATTTCCAAGACAAATAACATTAAGATACATGCTATATTTAACTTTTTCCAAAGAAAGAAAGAAAACGTATCTTCTCATATCAGAGCTATCACCGTCACTATGTTCTGATTTCATTGTGCGAAATTGGCGGTTTTTGAAGCATCACCTTGTTACCTCCATGGTCCAATGCCCATTTCATCAGGTTATGCTATGAACCCTGTGTAACGGTACTATCATATTTCAAACTCTCTGGAATATTTTCCTTCCGAAATAAGCACAATGAAGTGCCCCATTGACGAAAGCCTGTGGGTCTCTTCGCTATAATCTAGGAGCAACCAAACAAAGACTTCTCCATGAGCCTGTGGCTAGTGAATAAACCTCAGGTACATTTGGACGCCACTGTTGATCCAAAAGATTGACAAATCTGACAAACTTTATAGTCGTTGATAGTAGCATTATACCCGAAACCAATAAAAGCATCATATCCACCACACTTCTTGAAGGTAAAATTAGGTTCAGGAAGGGACACTTTCTTATGATTGGGTTCCATATTATGAAGTTGTACGGATAAAAGGACAAGTCATCCAGAAGGCACACAAACCCATTGGAAATGCCAACCACACGAAAACTAGAGTTTCACAGTTTTTCCTTGTGAGGAATGGGAAGTTCTAGCTTGCAGTACTCATCAAACGCAAGGTCAACGTAAAGAGTAACCTCTTGTTTCGTTTCAGTCAAATAATCTATGTGAAAGCTAGATAAATAGTGAGCACCAAAAACACCATGGAGTAGGAGGACATGAGAGTAAGTTTTATAATACGCTTCAAGCAAGCAAAATTTCAAGAACATTCAAAGCAATTGAATAACGAAATAGGAGGCAGTTTATTGAATTTTTATCAAATTGATAAACTGCCATGAAGCCTACCAAAATTCGATACACACTAAACAAAGAAGAAACAAAGTTTAACCGAAAATAAAACAAGCAAGTGGCCCTTTATCATAGTGGTGTAAAGGAGTTGAACCATTGCATGATAGCGTGGGTTCGAACCCTGTCAGTGGCTAATCTAACATCTAATTTAACAAAATTTATTGTTAACAAAAAAAAAAAAAAAAAAAAAAACGAAACAAAAAGAAATTTTTTTTGTCTTTAAAGCAAACTACTTATTGCACAAAGTTTATTTTTTCTCTAAATATAGAAAGTTTAAAGTGTACAATAAGAATTTTAGATTCTAATCACAATTCTCTTTTTTCTGGTGTAACAATAATATTAATTATTATTTTTTGGTTGGGTACAATTCGGCCAACAGGTTGGGCTAAATTATATCATAAGCCATGACCAAGAACTACAACAAAGTTGCAAAGATAATAAAAACATCCTTTCTGCTGAGTAGTTGGGATTCACGAATTTCTTTTATTGTAGTAGTCTTTTTTTTATTTTTTATTTTTTTTCACTGTAGAAGTTCGTTTTGGGTTAAAGTAATGTGCTAATCTGTTATTATATAACTTTATGATGAATAATACTTGCATTTCCTCTTTGGTCCCCACTTGTAAATAACGTATTTTTTTTTATTGTAAGTACTTTAATTGGAACGATTCAATTACTTAATATTCATTTGAATGTCATCCTTACAAAAATTATTCAAATTGAAAATTTTTAATCAGTTAAATGTATAAAATAAATCAATAAATCATCATAAATATATTATTCGGTACATGCATTGTTTAATGTCTTCTGTTGTTACGCACTTATGTTCTAATTCTCTAAAGCAGGCTACTCATTACCACTGTGAGCAAAGTTACACACTTTTGGCTCTTTTGTTAATTTGTAATCAGAATAGGAGATATAAAATTGAGGAGCAAATAAAATGGGGAGAAGTTAGAATAGAAATGATAGATAAGCTAAAATGAAGCATACTTGATGAAATATTAGGAATTAGTTCCCAAATGATCCACTGAGATCACCAAGCACAATAAAGAGCTATAGGAATCGATAGCCTAAACTATGTGAGGATGTGAAGGTAAAAGAGTCTCACATTGGTGAAAGGAGAAACCTAGCTACTTTGCAAGGGTTTATAAGAGGTTGGGTTACTCCCCATATTACCAATTGATTTTATGGTGAGAACCCCAACTTTCTTCAAACTATACACTCAAAAAGCTTAGCCAGGTAGAAAAACCAGAGCAAAATTACCAAGTAAAAATCTTTAAAAAAAAACTCACCCCTAATATTTTTGTTGTGCATATGACTATTTTTCAAGGTTCTAAAAAAAGTTAGGCGCTAGTCGGACGGCGGGTTAGGGCCTAGCGCCTAGGCGGCTGGACGGGGGCCTAGGCGGATTAGGCGGATTTAAGTAAATTTATTATATATTGTATAAATAAGTGCTGATTTATACTTTAAAAAACACACATAATTGTATTGAGATACATAAATTGCAACATATAATGAGATATAAATTATAAGGTATTAGAACATATTGATAACATGGGGAACCAGCATATAATGAGTGTTCATCCAAGTATTCAACAAGTTTCTTACATTTTATTGAAAAATTAAAATACAAAATGATCGATTTTCTGTCTAAGTGAGAGTTGCAACCTAGGCAAATGCCTAGGCAGATTTGGCAGGCTAGGCAGGTGCCTAGACAGGCTAGGCGGACACCTAAACGGTTCTAGATGCACTTTCTTAATTTTCAAATGTCTAGGGACTAATCGGGGTGGTGACCTAGCGCCTAGCGCCTAGGCGAGACCTAGACGGCGCCAGGTGGGGATTTTTATAACAATGCTATTTTTACCATCTCAACTGATCATATTGCGTGCTCTCTCTCTCACATGTTTGATCGATACCGTTGTTGTTCTTAGCTCTGATTCGTAAGAAAATTATTAATTGCATGAAACATTGTTCACTAAAATATAAATTAAAACAAACATATGAGTACGTATTACATACGATCAGCTGCTCATGAGTCTTTTTATTCTGTATCACATATTCTATATAGAATTCTTCATCAAGCATACATGCATGCATTCATGACGTTATTTTGATACATCTCTTACTTATTCTAATCTGGGCAATATTTGATCATGAAAATCATCCCATTGCATGCTTCTGAGTCCAGGTACGTGCATTTTCTTCGTACTTGCCTCGATTATTTTTATAGAGCCGAGCAATCTCCTTTTCGAGAGGGTCGTCGGGATTTGGATCAGTTAGCAATGAGCATATTGAGATCAACACTTTAGAAATACTAAGAGCAGCGCTCCAATTTTTTTTTAGGGTATCGAGACAGATGGTTCCATCGCTACTGATATTTGGGTGGTAGACCTTAGTCTTAAACTGTACCCTTGGCGGTTTAAAGGGATAATCAGCGGGGAAGTTAATCTCAAGGTAGAATACACCTCCTTCATATGGGCTAGCAGGGGGTCCCATAATTGTAGCTTGCCATATGAATAGGTTTCCGGAGGATTGAGGACCTGCACTGATATGATTAGGAGGATCCTTCTGTAAATCTTTGAGCTCCTTCAAAATGCGCTTCGCGGCGGCCATTGACCTCTTCGCAAGCAAGTTCGGAAATGAAACAAGTCTCTACCGAAGCCCTTGGTACGTACTTGTCTGATGAATCGCACTGATCGCGCTTTGATCGAAGATGAAACTGTTGTGTACTGTATAGCTTACAATCTACAAGCTACGGACCTCCATTCTCTTGAATTTATAGGATTAATTTGTATATTAATGCCATATCTTTTCGGAGCAATAATTGAGACCATTGATTTTCCAAGATGGCATGGGTTAGCGTTAATGAAAACAAAAACAAGAATGAAATGTTGATTATGAAATTCGAGATTGCCTAATTATAATTAATTAAGATCATTAACTTCCAAGATGGCATGGTTTAGCATTGATCATCATTATTAATATTCAAGATGGGAAAATGGACTCTAAACTAGTCTTGAAATTTCTTGACCTTCAAGTTTCCATGTCCTAGTGCCACATGAACAATTTTGTGATGGTTTAGGGATACAAACACTTATAATGATGGAACTAGGGATTCAAATATCACTCGCTATATATAAATCACATATGTTGTATATATCGAGGATTTCTTATAGATTGTCTATACGCAATATACGTGACTGACAAATGTCACAAAATAACTTTTGTTACATGACAAAGTTGTTAAGATTTTGTTTACGAGTATTGAGTATGTATTATCCACATTATTTAGATCAAATGGTATAATTTTATCACAAAATGATTATCTTTCAATAAACAAAATCTTAACCGTATAACACATCTTCAGTTTCTACAAGTTGGGTTTATAGTGGGCTTCATTTTGTTCTAAGGTTGTCATGGGCAAATAGTAGTGGCCTTGAAAGAGAAAAGGCATAAACAACTTGAAAATTACAGAAGTTCGTAAAAATTCATACTATTTTCTCTTTTGTGCACAAGCTTGCATCAATGTAATGGTGTCATAACGACACAGCAACAACAATATTCTCACAACATATCATGACACTATAACAATAATAATAAAACTAGGTCAAGCGCAACCTTTGATGTTGTCTTTACAATGTCGTTTGATTGTCATTGGATTGCTGGACTATCGTTATATTGTTGCAGTGTTGTCGTAGATTGGTTTTGGAGTGTGCAACTCATGCACACACGACCCGGTGCACATCAAAGAAAATCTAAAAAAAAAAACTCATTCCGAATTTACAATTTGAATAATACGTAAAATACCAAAATTATGAATTAGGTTTTTAAAATTTCAAAATACTACAATTTTTTAAAATTACAATAAAAAGTAATTGAACCTTGAATCTACCATGATTCTAACTCATTAATCTGCACCACTCAAAGAAATTTCACTCGTATACCTCAACTTCTAGATTCTAAAAAACTTGGAGGCCTGATGAAAACTTTGGCTCCAAAGGCCAAAGTACATAGAGAAAAATAGAGTTCAACTTCACACTATGGCCTTTGCCAGATGATGCAAGTATTCTTTAGTTTTTACTTGTTTGAATCCTCTGCTCATTGGCAATCCAAAATTTTAGGAAAAGCTTCATAAGATTGTTTAGGTGAGAGATCCGAACTAGATATTCATCCAATGGCAGGACAGAAAACTCACACCACAAGAAAGGTTACAATGATATAAATTAAGAAGCAGATATTAGATGGATGGAGTGACTTCATGCATTAAAAGCGAAAGACAATCTAACAGTACATGGCTACTTCAATATCAAATGATGTTCTTCCTGTTAGTGTTTCTTGAATCAACAAAAGTTTTTATGTAAATGGAGCTGCACAGAAAACAAACAATGAACCAAGACTCGGTAGCTCTGCAGAAACTTGTGCAGAGGAATATTTCTTCTCATTTCAAAAAGGAGCACTAACGTGCTTTTACATTAACTGAAGGCCCTTAACTTGGGACCACATTAACCACTACAATTCATCCTAGACACACATCTTTCTAATCTCATGGATCACTCAACACATGGCACTCATGGCCTTTTTACAAAACTAGTATTTACACTTTGCCTCATTCTGCACAAGTGGATACACCAATTTAAACAAAACTTATTCTAAAACTTTTCAGCTCAAATACTTATAGTTCAACACTCCCCTTTAAGTTTTGAGCTGATTTCACACCAAGCATATCTCGAAGATAGTTGAACCAATCCTTAGACAAAGCCTTAGTAAATATATCTACCACCTGCTCATTTGTTGGACAGTACACCAAATCGATTATTCCTTCCTGGAGTGCATTCTTGATAAAATGATACCTTCTGTCAATGTGCTTGGTTTTCTGATGGAAAACAGGATTTTTAGTAATTGCAATTGCTGCTGTATTATCACAGTGCACTGGAGTTGCTTCAGTTTGCATCTCACCAAAATCTTCAAGAACAAATCTAAGCCAAATGGCTTGAGCAGTTGCTTCAGAGGCACTGATGTACTCTGCTTCTGCTGTAGAGAGTGCTACACAATTCTGCTTCACTGAGGCCCATGAGAACACTCCACTGCCAAATGAAAATGCATAACCAGAAGTACTCTTGCTATCATCAACAGATCCTCCCTAATCACTATCACAGAATCCAATTAGCATTGCATTCTTTCCCTTTACATTCTCCAAACCATAATCTAGAGTTCCCTTGATGTACCTAAGCACTCTTTTAGCTGTTCCAAGATGTTTATTTGTAGGGCAGTGCATGAATCGAGCTAGAAGGCTTGCAGCATACATTATATCTGGTCGAGTTGCTGTGAGATACAGCAAACTTCCCACAATTCTTCGATACTGTTCCTCACTTGCTGAACCACTGCCATCATCTTTGCATAGCTTCTCTGATGAAACCAGTGGTGTAAACACAGATTTACACTCATTCAAACCAAACTTATCTAACAAAGAAACATCATACTTCCTTTGATGGATAAATATGCTTGTGTGAGTTTGAATCACTCCCATACCAAGGAAATGATGAAGAAACCCCAAATCTGTCATCTCATATTTTGTCATCATGTCTTCCTTGAACTCCTTCAACATCTCAGTGCTATTCCCAGTATACACTATGTCATCCACATAGATTGAAACTATCAGAATTTCTCCTCCCTTTGCTTTGATGTAAAGAGTAGCTTTACTCTGACTTTTCACAAACCCACAGTGAGCAAAATAGGTATCAATTTCACTATACCAGGCTCTTGGCGCCTGTTTTAGACCATACAAGGCTTTATAAAGCTTGTACACCTTGTCTTCACTCCCCTTGATCACAAAGCCATCTGGTTGTTCTACATAAACTTCTTCTTCGAGTACTCCATTCAGAAAAGCAGATTTCACATCTAGTTGGTATAATTTCCAACTTTTCTGAGCTGCCAAAGCAATTAGAGTCCGAATTGTATCCAGTCTAGCTACAGGTGCAAACGTTTCATTGTAATCCACACCTGGTTTCTGAGCATACCCTTTGGCTACCAGCCTTGCCTTATGCTTTTGCACTGTCCCATCGAGATTAAGCTTGGTCTTGAACACCCACTTAACCCCAATTATGGGTTTATCACTTGGTCTGTTCACCAGATCCCATGTTGCATTCTTCTCAATCATTGACAGTTCATCTTTCATAGCCTTCATCCATGCTTCATCTTTGGCTGCCTCTTCAAACTTTTCAGGTTCCATAATACAAAGATTGCATTGTGCCAAAACATCATCTAGATTCCTCCATTTCAATGGAGTGTGATCAAAAGCTTGAGTCCTTCTCATGCTGCTGTCCACATCACTTACAGATTCATGAGAAAATGCCAGATTTGGTGACAAAACATAATCATTTTCCTCTGGAGTTGTCTCTGATGAGATACATTTAGGCAGCACAGATAACTCACTAGGATTAAACACAGTTACATAGTTCTCAGGAGCTGTCTTCCATTCCCAGGCTACATTTTCATCAAACACTACATCCCTTGAGAGTATAAGCTTTTTACTAAGAGGATCATACACTCTGTACCCCTTTTCACAGGTTGCATAACCTACAAATATGCCCTTGACACTCTTTGCATCTAGTTTCTGTCTCAACTCATTTGGTGTGTGTACATAACACAGACAACCAAAGATCCTAAGATGTGCAATTCCAGGTTTTCGACCACTGAATGCTTCAAATGGAGTTACTTCTCCAAGAGCTCTTGTAGGACACCTGTTCAATATGTAGACAGCTTTGAGTACAGATTCTGCCCATAAGTAGTATGGTAGTCCTTTGTCATGAAGCATGGCTTTTGCCATCTCAACTACAGCTATGTTCTTCCTCTCTACCACTTCATTCTGTTGTGGAGTATAGGCCATAGATAACTGTCTTTGAATCCCTGCATCTTCACACAGTTTGTTGAATTCACACGATGTGAATTCACCCTCTCTGTCACTCCTCAAACATTTTATCTTAAAGCCACTTTGTAATTCCACCATGGACTTGAATTTTCGAAAACAGATCTTTGCATCTGACTTGTATTTCAGGAAATAAACCCACATCATTCTTGTACAGTCATCTACAAGAAGCATGAAGTATTTGTTGCCCGCAAGAGAATCATTCTGCATAGGACCACACAGATCCACATGTACCAGTTCTAGAGGTTTACTAGCTCTCCACGCTTGATTCTTTGGAAACCACTCTCTATGCTGTTTCCCAAACTGACAACCTTCACAGACTTCATCAATTTCTTCTAAAACTGGGAGACCATGCACCATTTCTTTGTTCTTAAGCTGTTGAAGACCTCTAAAATGCAGATGGCCTAGTCTCTTGTGCCATATCCAAGTAGACTTAGAAATACCTGCTCTCAGTACAACCTGATCATTTGGTATCAGTGTCAAAAGATAACACCTGTTCTTTTTCATTTCAACTTTGAGTACAAGACAATCCAATGAAGGTCCATCAAAGATACTACACATCTTTCCCCCAAATAACAGGTAGTAACCGTGTTCATCCATCTACCCCACACTTAACAGATTTTCTTTCAACCCAGGTAAGTACATTACTTCTTTGACATATTTTCTGCCTTTGCTAGTGTCTATCACA